TATATACTAGTACATCTATTTCAGAAGAATTATTAAATAGATAAAGGAGAATTTCAAGTATTTAGGTAATCTCACAGAAAGTGTAAATTATTTGATTCTTTTTTTTTTAAAAAAAAAAACCTCTATAGACTAACCTAAAACTAGAAATAATCAGATACATTACTTTATCTGATAAGTTTTAGGACTATCCTTAACATTAAAAATGTATCAACTGTAGCACAAGATGTTTAAAGAACAGAAAACCTGACAAACTAGGGTGGGTGTTAGAAAACCCCATTAACAGCCTGCCTTTATTTCCCAATCATATGCTTCCCAGTATGTTCTAAAGAACATTATGGCCAGAAAAAGAATGCTGAGCTCATGTAACTAATTTTATTTCTATCTAAGATAAGTCATCCCTCTTCATCTAAGAAAAAACTAAGTGAATTAAAATAAAAAACATGGACAAGAACTCTGAATTACTGAATCATTATTATGATGAAACATAAATAATAGGGAACTTCTTTTACATGAGGGTAGTATGAACAATATGAAGAAGTCTGACTTCACAATACCTACTGTGCTCTCAATCTTTTCTCCCTATGGGTTCTAGTTGTGTTGTCCTATTTTAAATTTTATGCACAAAATAAAAGTTTATTCACTTCTATCGTGAACAGCTTCCTTAAATTTACTTGCAACTAACAATATATTACCAAAGATAATAAAAAATATGATCCAAGGCACAATTTTTAAGCTCAAGGAGCTCATAATATATAGGAAGAAAGATATTAGAATCTATACACACCACAACAAGCTAACACTACGAGGTAATATATGGTTCATGCCATATATAAGTGGATACATATTCCTCTTGGAGTTCCAACACAGTAAATACTGGTGTAGACTAAGAGACAGAGAAAGGAAAGTTTAAAACAAGTGGTAGAATATGAGCTGAGCTTTAAGGCAAGGGTAGGATTCACATAAGCAGGGAAGTAGAGAACATTCTGCACTTTAACAACAAAAGGTATAAAAGTGGGAATAAGAAGGAAAGTATATATGGCACACAGTTCAAAGTCAGACAGTAAAAAAAGGGGAAGGTTTGTATTTTATCTTTTTCTCTGTCTCCAATAATCTCTGAGTTATGACATCCTCCTATCATTAAATCAGTGGCAGTGGACAGCAGTAAAGATTTCCACATTGGAGAGTCATGATACTAAGTTGGTTTAGGAGGAAAAGCAAGAGTGAACGGGGTGAGCACTTCTGATATGACTTAAAGATTTTAGATATGAAATGATACGAGTGGCAGTAGTGAGAAAGAAAAATAGGAAGGTTCAAACTAGAAGCCAAGTTTTTTCAATAAGATTCATTTTAGACTTACCGATTTTCAAATGATAAATATCAAAATGGTTCACTGGAGATGTGGGACTGGCACTCAGGATAGTTGAGAGTTTGATAAACAGTTGGGTGTTATCAGCATACGGAGGACATGGGTATGGAGAAGGAATGAAAGGACACACACAAACGCACACAGAATCTGTCTGTCTAACTGTCCCTGGCAAAGGCAATGGAAGCAAAGGTTCAGAGAGGTAGGAGGGTATCTAGGAGAATACAACCCAAGAAAGTGATATCCAATACAAGAAGGACCAACAGATTTGGCCTTAAGATTATTCTTGGCCCCGGGGAGAAAACGCCCAGTGTGGTATGGGTAAGCAACAGACTGTACGGAGTTGCTAAAAATATTAGAAGGGGAAAAAATGGCGACACAAAGCAATAAAAGTAGAGAAAAATAAGTTGATAAAGTGGCACCAATGGCTAAGAAAGGGGTATTTTCAAATTGGAGAGGTCCTATGTCCAATAGGCCTATGTGATGATGGATATCAGAGAAGAAAGAGCCTAAAGATCAAGAGAAGGTAATAAAGAGATGATTATAGGGTAACAAATAAAAAAGCTAATAAGAACATTTACTGAACACTTATCAGGTGCTAATCACTCTGTGAGGCACTTTAGTACATTATCTCATTTTATTCTTATATCAACTCATTTGTTATTTTTATTATCTCGTGTTACAGAAGATGAAACTGAAGTGTAGAATGGTTAAATTACTTACTTAAGATCACAAACCTAGGAAGTGGCAGAGCTAGAAACTGAATTCAATTTGTTTTATACCAAATTGTTGCTATAAACCTGTATTCAAAACTGTAGAAAGCACACATATGACAGTGAATCTCTAAAATACTTGTTGACTAGTCGGAAGAAAAAAAATTCTATAAGATCATACATGGGCAATTTTTTAAGGTAGGAAAGAATGTGAATCTACCTTCTCCCCTTACAAAAAACAAAAACAAAAACTCACCCAAACCTTAGGCATTTGAGATAAAATGGCTTTTTACAACGTTTCCCCCTTGTAATTGGATCACTTTGGGCCTAATTTGTCCACAGAACCTGATAAACTGGTAGTACATCTCATACAAACTAACAGTGATCATATTATGAAATAAAATTTGAAGTCATCTTCAAGAAAAAATCCTGAACTGAAAGTTTTCAAGGCAGTAATTCACAGAAATATAGACAGGAAACAAAAATTCATAAATTAATTACATAGAAGATTTTCTCCTCTAACTGAATTACACTACATAAACACAAAATAAAATTTAAAGCTTTTGGCTTTAAATATTTGATTTCTGTGTTTGAGATATGAGCTCATATTATCACAGTTTGTGACTTTATTAGTCTGGAGAAAATAAAGAACAATCAAAAAGCCAAGTGTGGCAGATACTGATGGATCAAAATTCCTTTACTTCTCCTCCCTGTTGTCTTCATCTTGACATTTCTCATTAGCACCGCCATTAGAAAGTGGGGTCACAAAGAAGCAGTGAAATATACTCCTTTGATTCTGTTATTTATTCACAGCTCCAGTAAGTTGCCTTTTGCCAGGGAAATTAGAAAGTAAGTATTGAGAGTTGGAGTTATTTACAGACTTTATCCATATTATTTCCAGTCTACACCTCAGTACCAATGAGTAAATCAGAGTTACCTCAAAATAGGAAATGAAATCTACTTATTACCACTTATGGTAAGTTGTGCTTCAGAAAATTGAAAATGATCACTAATATGAAGAGTTTTAATTACTTGTAGATGTCAATTATCCACATCATTCTTAGTATAGTGCCTCATTACCATGCACAACAAAGATACCTGTAGTGAGATGGAATAAAAAATTAATCTACTGACCAAATCTTTAATTAATCCATTAATTTGTCAATGAATTTGTTTTCAATGATTACTACTTGGTCTTTACTTACCATGGCCCAAGATGCCTTATTTAGAGAACTCTATTTGGAAAAATTGAACCATATAGACTTTCTGTGCCAATCACACATTTGGATTTTGCAAAACTTTAGGCTAAACATACACCTTACCATTGCCACTAAGTAAGAAGGACAAGCAAATCACGGAGAAATTCTGACAGACAATAAAACTTCCGTAGTTATAAGAAACCAAATATTTAAGGACAGCCTATTTAAACTAAATGAAACAATGTAAATTTTTAGCACTCTTCTAAATATAAATGTGTGTTTAAATTCATATCCTCAAAAAACAGAGTAGGGAAAAACCAACAAGTAGATGTACTCAACAAAATACTGCCTATCTCAAGAACCTATGTACTTTAAAGCAGTAACTGGCTAAATTTAGAAGCTGTTCAAGATTGTACCAGTAGCTACATCTATTTCTTTGAATTATAAAAACATTTGTAGATTATTTTATCTTCCATTTAAAAACTATTTTTGGCAATACCTGCTTAAAATGTGTAGCTCTTTCGCATTTCCTAGGAAGCTCAAAAACTGCACGAAGTAATGTAATTCAGGTAACTTACCCTCTTACGCCTACCTAACCTCACTGCCAGAAGGAGAATTATACTGATGATGAACTCTTAACTTGCATTGACTTTAAGAAAATTCAAGTAAATATAATAAATGTAGTCACCCAATCAGTTAATTAATTTCCAACAAGAAATCTCTCTGGCTCCTTCAATTCTTCAGCAAATCATTCTCCCCACCCTACCTAGCATAGTCCACCAGGCAGCCAATCCTAATGAATGTCTTGCATCAAAACGAAACAATGGACCTAACAATTTAGAGTTTTTACCTATTTCAAAAATTAGGAAATGCAGGAAAATCCAACGTATAAGCAACACATTAAGAAATGCCCATCCAAGAGTTCTTACTAGCAATTGCTACCAGTGCTTCTATACCCAATCTCCTCTATGTGCCAGTTGCAGCATTAAGGAAACAGTACCCGAATAACATGGCCATATGCACTGCTTACTGCTCTAAGTGAAGCACTGCTCAGTTTTCTCTATTTCTAATGTTAGAAACACTGCCACCCCCTTATTTTTAACATTTCCCAAATAGAAACTGAGGTTTTTATCATCCTTTCTCTTTGTAAAATGAAACTATTTAACACAACACCTGATGAAAATGAATTAAAGCTCTTTATGCCAAAGTTTAAGATATGCTGGTTACTAAGCTACTCATAAAATACTACTTTAAATTGTTCTACATCATCTCCCAACCCTACCAGTATTATGAGAAACAGTCCATTGTAGGTCTCCTAGCTAACAAAAATCTCACATGCATGAAAAAGCACTTTGGTTTTTGATGATGATGATGATGAGATGATAGTCTCACTCTAATTTTACCGATGCAATAATATTAACAATGGAAGGCATGCAAACTTACACCTTTAATGATGTAATATGCAGGTGAATACCATTTAAAAAATACTTTCAAAACTAGAAATCTATGCTGAAAAATACTGCTTTCTCATTGCAGTATAATCTTTGCAGGCCAGAATTCCAAGCAAGGAACAATCATCTTGCAAAAGATAAACATTTATATCATGTAAACATTAGGTATTCCCTTGACCTAATACTACATCCAGCAAATAGTAAATAACCATATACATTTAAAATGAATAGTCCTAAATCAGAAATGGAACACTAAATTTTATGGTTCACTTACCTGAACCTCGCTTGTCCTCTGTTTAATAGTATCTTCTTTCTCCTTAAGGTCCTGTTCTACATTATTCTTTTCCCTAGAAGACCAGCAAACAATGCAAGAATATTTTAGAACATCAGCTACAGCTGGTATGGTTATCCATCCTCCTAATCCTGAATCGCTTTTTAAATACATAGTGAAACATTCAATTTTTAAATGAAGGGCAGATTTTTCTACCCTCTTTTAATTATTTATGGAATAAAAATCAATATAAGCTCCGTTTGTAAAAAAAAAAAATTGCTTTCTCACTAAAATGTGGTGAAAAGAATAGATTAAAAAAAGAAGAGGAGAAAAATAATCAATGAAACACTCAGGTTTCACTGATGTCACTGTTGCTATGGAAATAGTGTCCAATGAAAATTGCTGGTGAAGAAAAGGAGGGGTTGCATCAGCTCTGTAAGGTTAACCCTTAGATATCACTGTTAAATTAAATGAAAATGGCTAATAGAAACAGTCAACAATATTAAGGAAAAAGACATTTACTGAAGTGTTAATTTTCTCTTAAATCGCTGGTGTGCATCAATTTTAGAATGAAACAACAGAGAAAATGGAAATACACAGGTAATTTGCTCTATCAAAGACAACATCTCAAAAAGCTATTTTAGGACCACATATCAAATTCAATTGATCAAATATACAAAACACTATATGTAAAGTAAAAAAAAAGAACTACATCTGCAGTTATCTCTTCTGCTCTTCAAATCAAACATGCTGGGTTTCACTTTTACTTTGAAACATCGTTACCTAAATTCTTATATGCTTTAATCAGACCTAAGTTGCTATGAATGAATCCCAAGGAACCTTAGATTCAGAATTGCAAAATAAAGCTGTTTCTTTTGATGTAACAAATTTAACTGTCCATTTATATTTGTACGGAAATCACATGCACGCGCACAGACACACACACACACACACACACACACACACACACACACACACACACCCCTACCTCCCTTCACTTTCTTTTCTACAAAATCAGACAAAAAGCCCAAAGAATTCTGCAGTGGTACATTTCTGGGGTTGGGGGAAAAGTAAAAGATGGCAACATGGAGAAGGGAAGACAGCATTTAACAAGTCCTCCAGATCGGAATATTCTCCTTTGAGCTTCAAGACTACATTTCAGTTTCCATCTCAGACATAATCCAAAATTTAAGCTCAGGCTCCACTTAGCTCTAGCATAAAGGAAAGTGAGAAAATTATACCAAAGCAGGTACTTAAGGGACAACTGCATGCTTCATTTATATTTCTCACCCTTTTTTCAGGTGAGATTTTAAATGTAGACAAAAATCAACTGTTTTGGATATGTCAGCACAATGTTCTTAAGATGTGTATGGAAGACAGTATACCAATAAAGCTATTTGTACACTGTTACTTTTAAATATTTGAGATGGCCAAGGAACTCACTAACCATTTGTCAGATGGGTTGCAATGTGGGTCTCAATGTCGTGGAGATTTTAAACAGTCCCTTACCATGCAAATCATTGTTGCAGCCCGATCCTTCCATATCTCAACCTATTTATTATGCAAAGGCCATTCCACACTTCTAACCCTTATATCAAATTAAGCAAATTCAAGAAACAGAGAAACACAAGGGAAATAAATCTGAAAATACCCAACAAATTCTGCAAGTTCAATCTCGGAAATTTTCTTTCCTCCTTATGTGAGCAGATGAATATTTTCAGTCTTGCTGCAGCATATTAGAGATAAGTCACATGAAAATCTAGCACCCTCCCCCTATCCCAAATTCTCAGAGGCATTCCACACAAGGTCAGGATCAATTCAGCTCCTGGTTTCTGAAAGTAGATAATAACGAAAATAGAAAACATTACAGTGTCACAGATCAGCAGTGCACACGTTTGTACTGAATTCTTTCTGCTCTACTGCTAACTGCTGTCACTGACAGTGTCTGCTCAGATCAAGTGTGCATGCAGGAAAACAGGGATACAAGAAGGCAGTAAACTGACTCAAAGTAGCCCAGACAGAAGGATGGGAGAGCAAAGGAAGGAAACTCACTTGCTGAAAAATCCAAAACAAATTACAAAGGACTCAGCTCTAAACAGCCCAGTCTATGTTTTAGTAAAATGGAGGAAGCTTGAGGAGTACACATTTCTCTTCATAATTTGCGGTCTATGGGGAAAGAAGGGGAAGGGGAGGAAAGGATGATGCTATCTCTAAACATATCCTAAAGATCATTTCCAACTAAAAAAAAAATCATAGAGATCTTTAGGCATTAATTCCTCTTAGTATGAAGATCAATTAAATTTGACTTTTTTATTTTTATTTTTATTTATTTATTTATTTTTTTAAGACAGTGTCTCACTCTGTCACCAGGCTGGAGTGCAGTGTTGCAATCTCAGCTCACTGCAAACTCCACCTCCCAGGTTCAAGTGATTCTCCTGCCTCAGCCTCCCAAGTAGCTAGGATCACAGGCACAAGCCACCACACTTGGTTAATTTTTGTATTTTTAGTAGACAGGGTTTCACCATGTTAGCCAGGATGGTCTCAATCTCCTGACCTCGTGATCCATCCGCCTCGGCCTCCCAGGGTGCTGGGATTACAGGCGTGAGCCACTGCACCCAGCCAATTAAATTTAACTTTTGATTCATGTTTATCTAACAAAACTCTGGTCTTTTAATATTCCTTTTATTATCACAACCAAGTGGTATAATATATAGTACTAAACAGAAAATTTTAAAAATTTAAATGTTCGATTATATCACTTTCTATTAAAAAAAATTATGACTGAAAACCTGTCCTGTAAATCAGACTAAAAATCAAATAATTTTCTCACTGACCTAGTTTATAGTTTCAGAGATGCTCAGTTGTTATTCTGTTGTCTTGCAATGACACTGAACCTTTTTAACTATTCTTCTCATTTCAGGTAAATAAAAACATCTAACCATATATTAGGTGCATTTACAATGCCTGACCATATTTTTTACTTTCTCTCCAGTTTTGAACATGTGTATTTGTCTACAGGTGATGGACACATAATCAATACGAGCATTATTTTTAACACTACTAATTTAAAAACACTTCCCTTTAAGGATCTTGTGCCACAATAAAAAGTAATATTAACATGCAACTTCTCAAGGAGCCCACCAATATAGGTGGATAAGACAGATATAAGGCATTATTTCAAAAATAGGTGTGTAAGGCTGGGCGTGGTAGCTCACACCTGTAATTCTAGCACTGTGGGAGGCCAAGGTGGGTGATTGCTTGAGGTCAGGAGTTCGAGACCAACTTGGTAAAACCCTATCTCTACTAAAAATACAAAAATTATCCAGGTGTGGTGGTGGACACTTATAGTCCCAGCTACTGGGGAGGCTGAGGCGGAAGATCACTTGAACTCAGAAGGCAGAGGCTGCAGTGAGCAGAGATGAGCCTGGGCAACAGAGTCAGACTCTGCCCCCACCCCCCCCAAAAAAAAGTGTGTCAGCATTTTGCCCAAACCACCAACTCATCCTCATCTTGGATGTCATGACAGGAAAAGCTACTGCCTTCACCTTAGTGATTTCCAGAAAAGGGAAATGAAATGATCCTACTCATTCTCTATTTTAGGCTATCTTTCTCGTTCTTTTCATTCTCAAGATGCTTGCACATCCTGAGGAATCCACAAGTACCAAAGCTATAAAGAACAAGCAAGGAATACAGCTCTGTGGTATTCCAAAGGCTCACAGTTCTGATTCCATGAAGAAGTGAATCTGAACTATCAAAGAAGGCAAATCACAAGCTAGGCTTTCAGAAGCCTAAGGTTGATAAATACATAAATCTAATATGAAATGGTCAAAAGTTATTCACAAGGACAGTTAGGCTGAGGGACCTTGAGTCTATGCAATCCACTTCCATTTTCCTAGACTCTATGTACTAGGAGTAGGGAGTAAGCCATCTGTCTTAGTTTTTGATGCAATTCTAATACTATCAAATATAAGATTAAATCATCTTCAAAGTCCTTCCCAGATACACAGTTTTATGTCTTTTTTCCCCTAAACATAAGCATCCACTATTTTGTTAACGAGAAAACATTAAAAACTAAAAATCATTAGAAACTAGAAAGTTTTGAAAACTCACAAAGCTGTATTTTTCAATTCTGAAACTTAGTTATAAAAATTTGCTTGGAGCACATTTAACCATAAAAATCACTAAGTAGCTTAACTGCCAATCTTTCTCACAAGCAATCAGAGAAAAGCATGTTATTCTCATTAGATAGTCTTGAGTAAGGCATCTGGGTCTTACAGAGAGCAAAAATTAGAACAAAAAACTAGAGACCTGGATTCTAATCTAGCTCTTCTGAGAAAGAGTTGTTCTCATTTTGATTAGGTCACTTAACCTTTCAGAGCCATTGTCTTATTTTTCATATGTGGATGCTAACATCTCTATCATCTCAGAATTTGCAAGGCAATATATGTAAGATGTCAAGTAATTAATATTGAGCCTAAATATTAACATTACTTAGAATTTTAAATAATGGTGAAAGTAGTTTTTAAATGTGTTAAAAAGTAGTATGAGTTATAAAAAAGGTTAGAGGCTGGACATGCTGGCTCACACCTGTAATCTCAGCACTTTGGGAGGCCACGGCAGGTAGATCACCTGAGGTCGGGAGTTCAAGACCGGCCTGGCCAACACGGTGAAACCCTGTCTTTAAAAAAATAATAAAAAATAAAAATAAAAAAGATTAGAAAACATTGATCTACTGTAGTTATAGAATAAATAACGTCAACACTAAAATTTCTGGCCCCAAAATCTTAACTGAATACCATTCAAAATAATCTACTCTCTACTTTTAGAAACCCACTATATGGTTTTGAAACCATTAGATTTGGAGAAAAGTAGGCCCCAAAATACTAAAATACTAACTCTATCATAAGTCACCTTATATCATGTAGTAACATCTATTTGTTCTGGCCGACCCTATCTCCTTCTAGGATTCAGCAACCCTTTTAGGAAATTGCTCCTCTTTCTGCCTCTTCTAATGTCTTTCTACTTATATAGTTCAAACAGAAGATGCCACCTCTGTGGGCAATGACTGGCCAGAAATTGGCTCCCAGTTGAAGCTTAATCAGTCAAAGTACCCTACCACACAATCACAGAGATTAATTCAAGAATGAGCCTGTAACCAATGCCAAAGCAGTCAGAATCTTTATCTAGGATGCCTTTATTTGGAACTGATAAAGTATTATTACCACTACCATATCTACTATTAATAATAATAACAAATTACAGAAGCTAGCATTCTAGGTAGTAAGCCCTGGCTCCTGTCACACTTAATTTTATGGGTTAATTTGGCTAGGCCACAGTACGCAGATATTTGGACAAACATGACCCTAGATGTTAACA